ATAAAAATCTTCCAACCCATCATTCATACCTCCTTAGTTTACATTGATGACATATTATTATTTAGTGATACATTGGAGGAACATGGTAACTTGCTTCGTCAATTTGAGGCATTGGTAACACAGTATGGGATCATGCTTTCTGCAAAAAAGATGGTTCTTGCTCAAAAGGAGATCGATTTTCTCGGAATGCATTTTGTCCAAGGTGAATACAGTCCAGGATCGCATATATGTCAGGAATTACTCAAATTTCTGGATACCAACTTCACAACAAAGCAGATCCAACAGTTCTTGGGGGTAATAAATTATGTAAGAGATTTCATCCCAAATATCTCTACATACATTTCACCGCTCACAGAAATGCTCAAGAAAAATGCTCCATCATGGGGAGAGAAACAGGATGAAGCTGTCAAAAAAATAAAAGAGATATCTAAAAATGTCAAGTCTCTCTACATCCCTTCAGATGGAAAGAAGATACTGCAAATTGATGCCAGCCATGAATATTGGAGTGTTGTTCTATTTGAAGAAAAGATGGCCAGAGGAAAATATGCGGATACGCTAGTGGAAAGTTCAAAGATGCCGAGCAACATTATCACTCCACTTTTAAGGAAATTCTTGCAGTAAAGAATGGAATCAAGAAATTCAATTTCTTCCTTATCCATACAGAATTTCTAATAGAGATAGATATGAATGCCTTCCCAAAGATGATCCAGATAAATTCAAAAATTAATCCCAATCCTCAGATTCTCAAATAGGCCCAATAATTCTCTCCATACAAGTTTCAAGTCAAGCACCTGAAAGGAAAAGATAATATTCTTGCAGGTTTTCTGTCTCGACCGGAAGAATTCTAAAAGATTTTCCCCAGCAAAACTGAAGTCAAAGCAAAAGCTAATTAGCCACGTCTTCATGCTTTCAAATATACCAGGAACAAGTTCATTAAAGCCAACAGATCATCCACCAGAGTTGTTCAACCTCATGGATCCCTTTGATCCGTCGATTATTATGGAAAGAAGAACGTATTATGAGCTCCAAGTTTTCTGGCAATATAGATGATCCATTCTCAAGCCATATGGGGTCAATCCAGAATATCCGCTCTGCTATATATTCATAGCTCAAGCTAAGGATTTTTCACAAGAACTATTATGGTTTTTTTGGTACCTATGCCATCGGTATTATATTTTCATGGAATTCAAATGCAACGTCTTCAAGGATTTTGATAACATTGCACCAGCTCTTAAAGTATTTTTACTATTGTTCAAGCCTAGAAGATATTAGATGAAATGTTTCAGCGATTCCTACGCAACAAAGATATTCATGTTCCATAGGCCAATGAAGATCATTAATGGAAAAGTCCAGGCACAAGCAGAGGCATCATTTTGGTGGAAATTTCCCGTGTCCATTTTATCAATGGAAGAAAAATATAGCGAAGCACAAAGAATCATTTTCTAGCAAAATAGGTGCATCCCAAGAGAGATATGGCCAAAAGATTGGGCAAGCTGGAATTATACCAACACTCATCCTCACTGGGAAAGAGTCCAGGAAGCAACAAAACAATATAAAACCCCATACGAAGTTATCCGAGAAAAGATCACTCACGACATTTCCAGATTAAAGTTACGGATTACATCTCTCAATCCAAAGGAGAAAGAACAAAGCGGAGAAGGACCATCAAATTCCAGGCATTACTACACAAGGTCTTTGAAAGATGCCTAGAAGACAACCATAAAATCAATGAAGGATAATTATCTAAATCCCTGCTAATCCCACCATAATCCTACATTACCTACCAAAAAACCCTCAAAAATATCCTACCCATGCCAAGACAAATTCCCACATCTTTCCATACTATCTGGGCCCCACTTTCACTTGTTTTCACATGCTTCGTCACATACAGCACCCTACTTTCACATGTAGTCACATGCTCCCTCGTACTTTCACATGCTACACCATGTATATTCCACCACTTTCACATGTTTTCAGGAGCTTTTTAGTTGTTTTGCCTAAATTCCTTCACATGCCAAGAAGGACCCATATGTAGATAAGTTTGCCATATAAGATAGGTTTATTTTATTATGTAAGTTTGTCTTGTAATAACCTCCTAGTCCTATGTAGTAATCGGAAGATCATCTTGTAACCTTTGTAAATCTTTTGTGATATATTACATATGAGTGTTTTCTAAATTTCCCTCTTGTTCTTTCTTTCGAATGGATGGAAAGGTCGGTCCACGTTTGAAAATAGAGTAAGAATACTCTTTGAAAGTTAGCTTATTATAGTACGAAAGTTTTCTGAGTTATAAACAGCTAATGTTGGTTATAGTATAAAAGTTTTCTTAGCTTGGCAAACCGTCCCTTATGGGTTGTTGAAGCCAGCCCCTTTGTAGGAAAACTTTTGCAACTATAAACAAATTAACTGTTTCTGTAGCTTGGCAAGCCGTCCCTTATGGGTTATTGAAGTCAGCCCCTTTGTAGGGAAACTTTCATATCTATAATTTAGTTTGCTTTCTTGGAGTCTTTTACTTTGATTCCGTTAATCCCATTGGGTGATGTTGGACTTAGGAGCATGTTCGGATTTTGTGACTTTTTCCCGATTTTGAGACGTGGGCTCGGGGGGCGACTTTTGAGTTGACTTTTTGATTTTTTTATTTAAAGCTTAGTATTTTCTTATGGAATTGATTCCTTTAGCTCGTGTTGATTGTACTGAATTATTTGTGGCTAGATTCGAGGCATTTGGAGGCTGTTTCGCGAGGCAAATGTGTTTTGGAGTAGAAATTTGCTCGGATTGAGGTAAATAACAGTTCTAAATCTGGTTTTGAGGGTATGAAATCCTGTATTATGTGTCTTGTGATTGGTTTGGAGGTGACACACATGTTAGGTGACGGGCATGTGGGCGTGCACCGTAGGAATTGTGACTTGGTCGATACCATGGAGCTATGAAGTTGAATAATCTGTTGTTAGTTGTATGCACTCTATGTGTTATAGAATTTGACTGTAAATCATGTTTAGTCTATATGTTGGTACTGTAGGGACCCACAAAGGTTGTGTTACATGTTGAATTATCTACTAATTGCTGCTTGTACTCAATCACAATTTTACTTGCATATCATATTTCAGTCTCTATTATTCCTTATTGATTCATTATATCATTCTGTTTGGGCCGATTGCCATGATTTCTGAGAGCCCGAGAGACTAAAGAGGTTGATCACTGAGTAAGGCCGAAGTTCTGGTTGTGATGATATTTATGGGATCGGGCTGCACGCCGCTTCATGTTTCATTGATTTATTCCATGGTTGGCTTGTTATAGCGTCCGGGCTGAAGGAGCCCCTCTGGAGTCTGTACACACCCCCAGTGAGCGCAGGTACTTACTGAGTGCGAGTGCCGAGTGCACGAGTGCTGAGAGGAATGAGTGACTGTGAGGAATGAGTGATTATGAGGTTGGAGTGAATGGGAGGGTTGACTGGCTATTGCTGTGAGATGATGCATTTGATTTCATTATTCGCTGTCACATATCCCTGTCTTGAAATTTCTGAGAGATATTATATTCTGTTTCACTTGAACTTGACATGAATTAACTGATTTGACCTAAATTGCCGAGCTTGAAAGCATGCCTACCTTCCTATGTTAAAATTATTGTAATTGAACTATAATTGTGAAGCTCGTCACTATTTTCAGTTCTTTATTTAGTCTTGTTACTTACTGAGTTGGTTGTACTCACGCTACACCCTGCACTTCGTGTGCAGATCTAGGTATTTCCGGACACGGTGTGTGTTGATTTCTTTGCACTATTGATCGTTTGGAGATTTCGAGGTAGCTGCCCAGCGTTTTGCAGACCTTGTCTCTCCTTCCCTATCTTTCTACTTTATGTATTTAGTTTCAGACTATTATAGATAGTACTCCTAGACTTGTGTTGTATAGACGCTCATGTACTCCGTGACATCCCGATGTTGAGAATTTTCGCGTTGTGTTTTCGATTTTCTATCTTGTTTATGAGAACTTTTATTATTTAGTCTGCTTAACTTATTTCAGATAAAAGTGCTGGAATTATTTTTGAAATGTCGGATTGCTTTGTACCACGTTAGGCGTCATCACGACAAGTTAGGTTTTGGGTCGTGACAAGTTCAAAGATATCAAATCTACCGATTGATCAAGTATATCCGACATAAGTTCACTACGAAAAGCTCAAAGGGAAACCTACTTATCCAGATGTGATTAATCCTTACTTGCGAATCACACAATTTTTATGCATATTTTTTATAAATATGGTCATTCCCCATTCATGTGGGGGATTGTTGGGTTTTTTCAAAAGGGTGTGAATGGGAAATGAAAGAGGCACCTCTTGGATTGCACCTCTTCATCTCACCCTTTCATTGTCTATAAATTTAGAAGCTTGATCTCATTTTTTATACATGGAAAATCTGAAAACTTCTCCATTCTTTTCTACATTGTTGCATTATTTTTCCAAATAAATAAAGTGTCAAGTGTGATTTGTTCCGTTTGTTAATTTCGTTGAAGTTCTGTAATTTCGATTGCTAGTATTACAGAATAGTTTTTTCGTTCTATCCTAAGAGGAAGTAATCAATAACCTTGGGCAACAGTGAGGGGATTAAATTCCTTAAAAACACACAAGCAACTTGTGGGCTCGGAATTATTTTACGATTTGTTTATTGAGCTAACGTTTCTTTTTCCTATGATTTTCTGTTTCGAATACAGATTATTAACATCTTCTATTTACTCTACACCTTCCATCCCGTTTTCGATTGACCTAATATATAAAGGGATTCCTACATTGAATTGGATTATATGATATATTTATTCTCTGTACAAAAATCAACTTCTTCATACTTGCAAAAGGTTCAAGGAAACAGATTCATTACAAACCCGCATTTCCATTTTCTGCAGTTCAGAAAGCCTGAGCACTCACCAGGCAATTATAATATGAGCAGTTAATAGCTTTGCTTGCCTTTTGAGAATGACATGGACCAACCACTTCTTACTCCGGATCCTTGATATACAGAAAAGAGGAAAACAAGTAAAATGATTATTGTGGGGAAGATTACTCATACATGTTACAAATCCAAACTGGCATTTTTGTGCTATGATCAACAAATTAATAAAACTTCCTCAGTTATCCTTTTAAGCCAGAGTACATAGTAATGGAGCACCAGTGTATGCTCTCACAACGAGCATATTAGGATCTCCGGACTAGTGTTTTAAGCAGATTTATCGTAGTGAGTGTTTCTCCTTGCGCATTCCAAGATTGTCTTGTCAGCAGTAATGAAGTATGCAGCAATGGAAGCTGTTCACAGTAAGAAAACAAAGTAAGCACTACAAACTAGGGACTTCAAGAGACTAGTTAGGAGCTGCAGAAAGAAATGAAGGAAATAGAGAAAATATTACTACAACTGATGTAAATATACAAGTATAAGATCACCTAACATGCTATGTCATTCTAGAAGTACAATACATGATAATAATGTCTGGTGACAAAGCGAAAGGAGGTTGCAGCAAACGAAATAATTAATACTCATTGATGACAAGATGAAGCTTTAGCATGGGAGAAACACAAACTAGACATACTAGATAAAGAAACCGGACATTGAAGTTTCTCATCGGTAGATGACTGAAGCATTCAAGAACTTAAATAGACTACCGCACTTTACCAACAATTAACACAAGGTAACTGAAGACGAAGTGATGAAGTACCTCCTGACATTACATGCATTTGAATACTAATAGACGATAAAAATACCGCAAATTATCACTTAAAAAATAGTGCATCATGAGTTGTAAAAAAGATAAGTTCACAAATGCCGCCTTTCATCAGAAGAATGCATCCATAAGGTGTAATAATTTGACAAGGACTTCACTTCCTCTGCCTTCGGAAAGAAAAGGTGCTTTTATGCTCAAATCCATTCTTGATGTTGACTAGATTAACACACTAATAACTTTTCTATCAAAATCTTATAACCATTTTCCCAAGGTTTTATTTTTATTCAAAAAGGTTTGCCATAAAAGAGTAAATACCCTCACGTTTGCATATAAGGATATCAAAAGTTTCCACATTTTACGAGGATGATAGAAATTAGGGCTCTTCTAAAAAATAAAGACAATAATTATTCCTTAACCTTGAAAATAACTTTAAGTTTACAAAACATGATGAAATGAACTGTCTGAATTGAAATAAAATTAAAGGGTTTTAGTAATGACTAGAATTAGTTGATGTGCTTAATGGACCTTCTAAAAAGTTTAGGGGTTCCAACTATCTTTTGCCTCAAAAAGAAGAGAAAACACACAGAGTTTAAATAAGTCAAAAGGCAAAATAAATTTCCATAGTAATTGCAGGATTCCCAAAGAATGTTAAAAATTAAAGGAATATAAATGAAAAAAGAAGAATTAACATAGTAGCATGCACACATATAGTTTTTTTTGGTCCTATTAAAGTAAATTCCAGTAAATAAGTTAAAAGGGTAAAATAAAATTCTTGTAGTTAAAACTTTTCACTAAAGAACGAATATCTTCTGGTAAAAGACCAATAGATTGCTTAACCTCAGTGTATATAGGGGTGTGTCCTTTTCTTTTCCTCTTCGTTTGGGTAGGTCGCAAAATTGCATCATAATGAAGTAACTTGGTAATATTAAGTATTAAAATTATTTGGCAACTCGGATTAAATAGTTTATCGATCAAGTAAGGAACTCAACCAGTGCACATGCCAATTCCAGTTTGAGGAAAAAGATCAAACATGAAGAAGATGATGATAATAATTCACATAAAATTAGTCAAACAAGATGGGAGAAATACACTTTGTAGCTTTTATGTATCTTCACATGTATATAAGCCTAATCATAAAATTACAGGCCCTCACGCAATCAACAGTTAAAGGACTTATCGATAAAATATGTGAACATATGTTAAGGTCATACCAGCAGATATGATGAGTGCTTGAGCAGTATAATTGAGATTTGCCTTTGCCCAAGGAATTGTCCGCACAGCAACCAACTGAATATCAGAGAGCCAACATTTATAAGCTACAGAAAATTGATAGAAGAAAAATAGCCTTTTCCCTGTCCATGAATATATTCTCCATCACAGCAATGGTGTCACAGCTGATAGCACCAAAGTGTTAGAAAGAGAAGAATAGATATTAATAAAAGAAGGGTCGGTTCCATGAAGGTAAGATGTCATCACCGGTCATTACTTATCTAGAGCAAGATCATTCGTTATTATCTAGTTTGACCATCAATAGCTATCAGAACCAGAGGACTGCAGATAAAAATGGAACTCTTGACAAACTAAAAATCCAAAATGAAGTTCAAAGACAATGTTGTACCTCTATAATAGCAAGAGTATAGTCTAAATCTAAAAATGCTTGGGATATAATCAGATCACTAGAAGAACATCAGTTCACGAACCGTAGGAATTGCACTAGCAACACATGCAATTGCAGCTGCTTTACTTCCCGCACGGACACCCTCTGCAAATTCAGCAAAATGAAAATGCACAAACAATTAGGTATTAGATATATCTTTTCCACTAAATGGAAATAACCAAACTTTATAAAGAGGCAAACTTCACATATAACATGTACATTAATTAGCATAGCAAAAGAAGAACGAGAGAACTTTCTTTTTACATTGTCAACATAGCAGTTGAACTAATATTCATACCACAACTAAGTAAAAAACAGAGCATTCAAAATTTTGAATGCAATAAAATATGTATAAGAGGAATTAACCTAAAACCAAGCATTGCAAATTTGCAATCAATAACATAATAGAAATCGAGTCAACTTTCTAACAGCCGCTGTTTTCTTTTTTATAAGTCTTCATCACAACCTACAGACATGAGAAGTGAAACAATATAAACTAACAGAACTTGAAATTAGGAAAGAATCATCCACCACAAAGTTTCTTTTCCTTCATGATCATGACGAGATTTATCTACAGCAAACCAATTTCAAAGGCAGAAGAAAATCTAATGTCAGAAACCTGATCACTGTAAGTCTGTCACCAACCAGAAAGCAGAAGCAACATTTTTTTTTTTTGATAAGGTAGGTAACAAGCAACTTTATAGTATAAAACTTTTAGAAAAAAAAACAGATTAAGTGGGGTATTTTGAAGTGATAAAGAATGCACGGTATATCTGTTTAATGTCAACTCCATATGAAACCCCTTTCTCAAAAAAATGGAAAAAAGAAGCATAATTTGAGAAAACATTTGTTATTAGGAAGTAGGAACTAGAATAATCAGATTGGGATGTGTGATGAAGATGATACTTCAATAGAATAATCAGATATGGGATGTATGATGGAGTTTAGTACTTCAATACTTTGTCAGATATTGATTGCTTGAAAATTTCATTTGAATTTAAATACAAACCAAAGAAGTATGTGTTTGGCAAATACTTAAATGCCCTCTTAGGACTTAACATTGTTCAATGCATACTATCATCACCATTGGAAAGGAATTTATTTATGAAATAGTTACAAAGAGAATCAACTAACTATGTATTTCACCAGTTCATTAAGGAGAAAGCCAAAGAAGCACGAGGCAGTTAAAAAAGCCTTAATTAAAGCTATATTCCCACTGATCCCAACATATGAACATTTGTAGTTTACCACAAACTCCGTCGGACTCAGCCTTAAATTACAGAGGAACCATATCCCACAGTCTTCCTTTTCTTTCTGTTACAGCAATAACATATATTAATCTGGCCTTATGTGGATACTCCTAAGATCAGAAAGTATTCCATGTCAGGACATGCCAAGTATGCAAAGCACAAAAAGTCCCAAATAAAAGCATATCATGTTTTATGCTATTTTCTATTGTAGCAACGCTGGTTTTACCCTACTTGCCAGCTTCGTAGTTTGTTCGAGTGATCATAGTAGTTGGTTCATCCAGGCCATGAAACAAGATAAATGACGAACCAATCACAGGAGGCTTGTGAATTGAGTATTTTCAATGCTTTCTAAAATCGATCTAGAACCTAAACGACAAAACCTTCTCGCTAAATGAGGTTATAAAAGGTTCTTTCCAACATATAAAACTTGCTATACAAAGCTGTTTTCAATGGGAAGCTTGTGGCTGCAGAAGAACACCAATTACAAATACGATCAATTTTCATTTAAAATAAAAAAACAAAAATTGATCAATTAATATTCCTTAACAGCCAAACTAGAGTTGACCCAGAAGAGAACCCCATATTATAAAATGGGGTCCATCTAGTTCTCCACGAAAACTAAGTTTAAGCGCTCAGCAGAATCGTGAGCTAGAGTAGGGACTAACACTTTTCTCTAAAATTAAAATTAAGTTCTTTTCTGATTAGCGCTAATCATAAAACAAAGGTAAATTTCAATGTTTATTTCACCAAATATCTAGAAATGAGAAAAAAAAAATGGGAACCTTGAGTACATTCCCTAGACTTGCGAATTCTGTCCTCCTCAAATGCAGAAGCAATCAACAAAGATTCCCTTCGCTTTGCCCACGAGTCCCTCATCTCTGATGAAATTCCCATCTTTCTCTTTTTTGTTGTTTGATAAATCAAGAAGATTCTGTGTCAGCAAAAACCCCAGATGGATTTTATGCAAGAAAAAACGCAACTTTAATTTTCAAATATAATTTAACAGGAACTAAGAGGAGAAGCAGAAAGATGGATCAAGAAAATGACCTGGGCTTACAGATATAATGGAGATAAATGATATGATGATTGACAAAGCAAAACAAAAACTGAATACTGGAGGGCGGCGAGTTGAGAGTTGTATTCAGTTGAATTTGGACTGAAGGAAGAGAAATTAAAAATTAAAGCAGTATTCAGCGCACACAGAGTTTCTTTTTTATTTTCCTTTTCGGGATTACTTATGGCTAAAAGTTAATCCGCACTCCGTGTAAAGTAATGCATATTTATATAAAAATAAAAATATATCATTTATTTAAACACACTAATAAGAAAGTAATACTAGTATATAAAAGGAAATAGAGGGAATAGTGTATACGGTCCAAATCGGGTTCGTCCATTGTTAGACCAATCGAGGTTGAAATATGGCAGGTTAAAGTTCGGGTTATATCGAACCAAGGCGCAAATTAGATCGTCGAGCTCGTGACCCAAAGACCGAACAAGATCGAGACCGAGCAAGATTGAGGGAAACTTACCGAGCCAAATAACGAAAAGCCAAAATATCCGTAATCAATCGCGGATCAAGGCGGAAATCTAGGCACGTATCAAGAAGAGGCCAATTAAATAGCAAATCATGAGATTTTTTACCTTGTATAGAATTGTATCAAAAGTAGAACACATCCACTATATAAAGAAGGGTTCTAATCATTTGTAGGACATATGATAACATGCAAAAAAGAAAGCAATATATTGATCATTTCTAGTTCTTATCATCTTGTTGTTTAGTTCTAACACTGGTTGAGACATTTCTTGGCTCGAGGATGATCAAACTCAGAAGCTAAGGCTGTTCAATATTGTGGTTTACATTTATTTTATTATAATTAATTTCAACATTAACCTGTCTTCTTAATTTGTATCAAGTTATATCACGTATCCTTAAAACAGCATACAAATTCAATTGTTATCCAAAGGTAAACAGTTTGGCGCCCACCATGGGGCTAAGAATAATAGTGATTAACCGGTACAAACTTTTATAACACACACTATTTTACAATTGTTCTTTGAAGTATCTTTGATTCCAGGACCAAAATGTCAAACTCTCAGTCAATACCTCTACACGTTGACAATGATTTCGGCGACCACGACAAAAATGATAATATAGCACCAGGGAACGATGTGCCCCCAGTTGGCCTCGATGAAATTCCGGCTGTAGTTCCAATCGACGTCAGCTCACATGTAACCATCAACGCGAATTTGGTCGTCAATCCTGAAGGCAGCGTCTGTAGAGACGTTCGATCAGCCGGTCAAAGTACATATGGCGGCGAAGATGGCGGGATCAGTCTGCGGGTGATCTTCGAAATGTTGCAGACTCAGCAGGCAGCGATAGCCCAGCTCCAAAACCAGAATCACCCACCGAGTAGGGCCAAGCTCGAGCCGTCCCAGGAAGTTGTACATATGGTCGAACCAGTTTCAAGGAAATCGAGCGAGAAAGAATCGGAGACCAATCCTGCAATCATGAAGATGCTCGAAGAACTAACAAAACGAATTGAGTCAATGGAAAAGTAAATCGAGGAAAATGATAAAAAGGTGGAAACTTACAACTCCAGGGTCGATCAAATCTCGGGGCCATCATCGATATTGAAGGGCCTGGACTCCAAGAAATTTGTGCAAAACCTTTCCTCCCGAGCGCGGCTCCTAAGTCGATCCCCAAGAACTTCCGCATGCCCGAGATTCCTAAATACAATGGAACAACCGATCCGAATGAGCACGTCACCTCTTACACATGTGCTATCAAAGGGAATAATCTAAAGGATGACGAGATCGAATCTGTCTTGCTAAAGAAATTCGGAGAGACCCTGTCAAAGGGAGCTATGATATGGTACCATAATTTACTACCTAACTCTATTGACTCATTTGCTATACTTGCAGATTCTTTCGTAAAGGCACACACCAGGGCCATCAAGGTCGAAACCAGGATATCAGACCTTTTCAAGGTAAGACAAAAGGACAACGAAATGCTCAGAGAATTTGTGTCTCGATTCCAAATGGAACGAATGAACTTGCCACCAGTCGTTGATGATTGGGTTGTTCAAGCTTTAACCCAATGACTCATTGTTCGAAGCTCAGTGGCTTTATAACAGTTGAAGCAAAATTTGATAGAATACCCGGCTGTTACTTGGGTCGATGTGCATAATCAGTATCAATCAAAGATCAGGGTCGAAGGCGATCAACTTAGGGTCTCTTCCGGGTCCGTTTATCCTATCAGACCCGTCTATAGAATCAAGAGGAATATTGACCTAGAACCGAGGTTGAACAGAGATCAATATCAGCCATATAAGGAGATAGTAGGAGTAGCGGATCCGGGCAAAATTTCTGCACGAAATGAAAGGAGAAGTTATCGAGGCCAAAGCTCTCGAAGGCTCATGAGCAAGAACGGCTTCGACAGACCTATCGGACATAAAGAGGCACCACGATGTTAAAGTACAACTTTAATGTTCATGTGGCTGCCATCTTATCATTTATCGGACGCATCAAAGATACCAAGTGGCCTCGGACTTTACAAGCGGATCCAGCCCAAAGGGATACCAAACAAATATGCAAATATCATGGCACTCATGGCCACATAATGGATGATTGTTGACAATTGAGAGAAGATGTAGCCCGGTTATTCAACAACATGCAACTTGGGGAACTTCTGAGCGACCGAGCCAAGAATCATTTTAGAAACAGGGATTCCAATAAACCAAATGAGCAATACTAACCTCAACAAGTCATTCATATGATCATTGGAGGGGTCGATGTTCCTCAAGGTCCAATGTTAAAGTGCACCAGAGTATCAATCACAAAGGAAAAACGAACCCGGGATTACATACCAAAAGGAACTTTATCTTTCAACGATGAGGATGCAGAAGGAATCATGCAGCCCCATAATGATGTACTGGTAATATATGTACTCATGAATAAGACTCGAGTTAAACGTGTAATAATTGATCCAGGTAGCCCAGCCAATATCATTCGATCGAGGGTCGTAGAGCAACTCGGCCTACAGAACCAAATTGTGCCTACGACTCGAGTGCTAAACGGATTCAACATGGCTTGTGAAACTACTTAGGGAGAAATAACGTTACCGATAAACGTAGCCGGAACCACCTAGGAGACCAAGTTTTACGTAATCGAAGTGGACATGAGGTATAACGCCCTGTTCGGGAGACCATGGATCCACAACATGAGGGATGTGCCCTCGACCCTTCACCAGGTATTAAAATTTCCAACACCAGAAGGCATCAAGATGGTCTACGGGGAGAAACCCTTCGCAAAGGAGATGTTTTCTGTCGATAAAGTAATTCCGATATCAACACTCTTATAGACAAATGAGTCAGGTTCGAGAGCAAAAAAAGAAGCCAAATAGTAATCATCCATGCTAGCCTCGACCCAATCTGACAAGTAGGGGACTGACGAAGACGATGATTACGGGGTTCCTCGATCCTTATAGTTCCCGATGATTCCGACGCTACCAAATCAATGATCGAAGAGTTGGAGCAGGTCGTACTGATCGAACATTTGCCCGATCTAAAGATATACCTGGGCACGGGGTTACCCCAGCCTCAGGAAAAAACTCATTCAATTTCTTATAGCTAACATGGATTGTTTTGCTTGGTCCCATCTCGATATGACAAGGATCCCGCCGGAGATCACTACTCATAAGCTGAGCCTGGACCCGAAATTCCATCATGTCAAATAGAAAAGAAGACCCCAGTCCGAGATCGAGCATGCTTTCATCAAGTACGAGATAACTAAACTCCTTAAAATAAGGTCCATCCTGGAAGTCAAATATCCGGAATGGTTTGCAAACGTAGTAGTAGTCCCTCAAAAAGGAAAAAAAAAATAAGAATGTGTGTGGATTATAAAGATTTAAATAAGGCCTGCCCTAAAGACTCTTTCCCTTTGCCTAACATTGATCATATGATCGATGCCACAACTGGCCACGAGATCCTCAGTTTTATCGATGCTTACTCCGGGTACAACCAAATACGGATGAACCCGGATGATCAAGAAAAAACCTCTTTCATCACTAAGTATGGCACATACTGCTATAACGTAATGCTATTTGGATTAAAAAATGTCGGTTCCACTTACCAATGCCTAGTAAACCGAATGTTCGAAGAACAAATAGGAAAATTCATGGAAGTTTACATTGACGATATGTTAGTTAATATCCTGCGAGCAGAGGACCATTTAAAGCATTTGCAGGAAACCTTCAGTATATTGAAGAAATACAACATGAAGTTGAATCCAAAAAAGTGCGCGCTCGGAGTTGGATCCGGTAAATTTCTCGGGTTCATGATGTCCAACCGATGAATCGAGATCAACCCCGACAAGATCAAAGCTATCGAGGATATCACTGTAGTAGATAATGTGAAGGTCATACAAAGTCATAGCCTCCCTGGGGCGATTCATCTCGAGGTCTTCCGATAAGAGCCATCGATGTTTCTCATTACTGAAAAAGAAAAACAACTTCACATGGACCCCGGAATGTCAACGGGCCTTAGAAGAACTTAAGAGATATCTATCAAGCTCACCATTGCTTCACACACCAAGGGCAGACGAATGACTATACTTGTATCTAACAGTATCAGAAATAGCGGTAAGTGGAGTCCTAGTCCGGAAAGAACAAGTTACGCAATTTCCAATTTATTATGTTAGCAGGACCTTAGGTGAGGCCGAAACTAGATATCCTCACCTAGAGAAATTGGCACTCGTTTTGCTAAGTGCCTCTAGAAAACTAAAACCATATTTTCAATGCAATCCTATATGTGTTGTGACAACCTACCCATTACGAAATATAATGCATAAACCCGAACTCTTGGGATGATTGGCCAAATTGGCCATAGAAATCAGCGGCGATATCGAATGTTAATCCCGAACATCCATTAAATCTCAAATTTTGGTAGATTTCATGGACGACTTTACGCCGACCCTAATACCCAAAGTCGAAAGAGAGTTGTTGGTAAACTCAAGAATGTCTTCGGGAATCTGGACCCTCTTTATGGATGGTGCCTCAAACGCAAATAGGTCCGGACTTGGCATCATACTGAAGCCACCCACAGGCAATGTAGTTAGACAATCCGCTAGAACTGTGAAGTTGACTAAAAACGAGGCCAAATATGAGGCCATGATTACAGGTCTCGAACTATCCAAAAGCTTCAG